GGCCGCCCCTCCCCGCCACAACCATGGGAAATCGCTATCTTTGATACTTACAAAAGCCCAACTGAGCAGCTAGCTTAAACTCAGGCCATGGAAGAAAACAAAAGAGTTATTTTGCAGGTCAGAGGAAATAGAAGTGACCTTCCAGGCTCAGTTCCACCCAGGGGAATGTCACCCTGCACAGGGAGAAAAGATCCGCCCCCGGAAGAGTGACTTTCTTCACTCGGTAAACAGAGCCAGAGCCTGCCCCTCCTTACAGAAGCCTAGACAATCAATTGAAATTCAGTAAACATAAACCCTGAGAATGGCTTTAAGCTGGGCTCTGTGAGTGTTTCAGGGAAAAGCTACTGCTTGCTGAAAAGCCTCAACACTACCCAGAACCTAGCCTCATCACAGCATCTCCAAACTAGAGGAAATAGCTATCTCCCTCTTTTGTGATACTCCAAGCAGTTCTCCCTCTCACTGAACTAGTCTGAGAGGAGGATCACAAAATCTTGGGTAACACATAGAATTTTCTGCCTGCCCAAACAAACTGACTTAAGAAACCAATCAAGCCATAGGAAAACCAAACACCACAAGCAGACTAGAGATTCCACCAAGAGACTGGTTGTGGAAACAAGGGATACACAAGGGATTCCCACCCCCCCCAAAAAAAAAAAATCAAAGAACTCTTTTGAAACTTTTTTAAAATTTTAATTTTTTAAAGTGTTTTCTGTAAATCTTCCTTTTCTCATAACTTTTATTTGTGGTACGTGTGTGTGTGTGTGTGTGTGTGTGTGTGTGTGTGTGTGTGTGTGTGTGTGTGTGTGTGTGTTAAAACTCTTTTGATCTTTTGGTTCTTTTTATTGTTTTCATACTTTTACTTTCTTATTTTTGCATGACTTAAATGGTGTTCTGCTCATCCCCAGATATATACCTGTTGTCAATTATTAGACCTTTTTCCCCATTGCGTACATACTTAACACAGTAATTTATCACTCAATTCACATCCTCTTAGGCTTAACTTTTTAATAGCACTATTTTCTCTTTATATCTATATAATTTTCAAATAACTAATTTTAAAAATTTTTATTTTTTAGTTTTCATGTTTCCTTTCTAAACCTCCCCTCCTTCCATCCTATCCTTTTCTTATATCAATATCATTTCTTTACACTTATATATTTTAAGTGTTTCACTTCTTAAATTTAATTTTTTGGCATTCCATTTGTTCTTTTTTTTTAATCTCTCTCCTAATATTCTGTCCAATCCATTTCCCTCTCAGAGATTAGGACTTGGTTAAATTTACTCTCCCTTTACCTCTCAACATCCCTTTAGTCCTATTTTTCCCCACATTTCTCCCTAAAGCCTATAATTTCTGATTTTCCATATCCATCTTTGCTGCTCTTAACTCATTAACACGTGGTTGTTTGATGTTGAATAGATTGTATCTGTTGAACTAGATTGTATCTGCATCCATTTTGATTGTGCAACTACCGGACTATGGTTGATACTTGCCTCAAAATAGTTTTCTAGCACAAAATTGGTGTTAGGCTCTGAGTTCAAGGCCCAGGAGTGAGAGAAAGGAAGGAAAGAGAGAAGGAGGAGGGAAGGCTGGATGGAGAAAAAGAGGAAAGGAAGGAAGAAGGGAGAACATGTGAGCCTTTGATTGGAGTCCCTGGATCAAGGGAGCCAACCATTCACAATCTAGGTGGGGACAATTTCATAGCCTAAAGCCAGTATGTAGGCCCAAGACACTGACACCTCAGCAACTTTCTGACATCCAGGAGCTGTGTGGTAGCCGACTACAGAGGTAAGCAGCCTCGGGTAGACACTAGGACTCAGGGCGGTTCACCAGGTTTCAATCATCCCTGGCACCAATGAGTTTATTTTCTGGTCAGATAAGAACAAGCTGTCCAAGGGCTAGGGAGGTATTGGTGTGAGGGAGTGTCGGGGTGGGGCAAGGGATAAGCAGGAAGATGAAGAGGGAGGACAATCACAGGGCAGGAGTGTCAGGATATTGGAGCCATGACTTCACCTGACATCCTAGACCAAATGTGATATAGCCTTTGACCCAACCACATTGCTATTAAGAGTCCTGGCATATTAGGTTCACCATTGACCACTTGGCTATTGTCCACTGCAGGATGTCTGTGCAGTACATCCTTGGGGACTGGGACTTTCCAGGGCTCAATCTGAATTTGACACCCCCCACACTATTCTTTCCTCCACCAGAGACAGAAATAACCTGGCCACTAACACAGGGCAGCCAGGGAATGAGGGTGGTAGTAAGGACCCTTGTTTCCCCAGACTTCCTCTAGGGGGCGCGAGGACCCCGTGATTGCCATTCTCAGAGGGAGAGATGGGTCTCGTTGCTGGCTCAGCCTTTAGTCTAAATGGCAGATCTGGGATTCACAGAGAGCAGACTGAAGGTGGAGCAGGGTTGTATAGAGGCTGGTGGGAAAACCAGAGGCACTGTTCTCTGAGCAGGGTTGTTTCTTTGAGGATACTCACAACCCAGGAACATTCCTGGGAGAGTTCAGCCCTTTTCTCCTTCCTGAGAGAGAGGGACTTGAGTCTGCGTCCTTTGGCTGAGAAATCCTTTCATTCCCACATCCTGTGGTTGGATAACTACACCCCACCTCCCTACTAGTGTAGAGGCAGGACAGTGAGAGCTCTTGAGTCTTTGATAAGGTCAGGGGATCCTGAATATGCGATTGTACTTGAACATCCTAACTTGTTGCATGGTAAGTTCCATCTAAGATTACCATGATGTAGGACATAGAATCTAGAGAATCAGAGCAGGATGGGGTCTGTTCTGGGAGTCTTGAGTATTATGTGTGAGCTTTCAGCTCCTATATGCCCACCTGCTTCCCTTTCTTGGGTGGGTTTTTGCTAGAAAAACTTGAAACTAGGGACTGGGTCCTATCCCTTGTCATTTTTACTCAAAGCTAGCATTCTACCATTTGTGCCACAGCTCCACTTCCAACATGTTTGGGTGTTTATAATTGGAGATAATGAGTTCTCATGGACTTTGTTGCCAAGGGTGGCATCCAACTGCAGTCCTCAGATCTCAGGCTCCTAAGAGGATAGGATGACAGGCATGGAAAAGTATGTTTAGCTGGGTGGCACTAGCTCATGACTGTCTTCCTAGGTACTCAGGAGGTGAGATCTGAGCATCAGGGGTCAAAGCCAGCCTGGGCAGGAAAAACCCTGAAGCTCTTATCTCCAACCAACCGCCAGAAAAACAGAAGTGGTGTTGTGTTGTGGCTTAAGTAGTAGAGTTCTCGCCTTGAGCTGGAATGCTCAGGAACAGCAACCAGGCCTAGGGTTCAAGCCCCACAACTGAAAAAAGAAAGAAAATAAAACATATTTGCCTGCAAAGGATGGTCCAGGTGTGCAAGGGATGAAAAGAGTGGTGCTGTGGTTTGGAGACCAGGTGCTCACCCCAGTGTACAGATATTTCTAAGAACTCCCAAGTTTACCCCAGCTTGAAGCCACAGCTTCAAGAGGACATGGCTTGTGGCAGGCAGTGAGGGGGTGAATGGGTGCAGTGCTGGGATTGCTATGTCTGTTTTTTCTCCAATAAGGGATGAATTTGGATGCTTGTTGACAAAGTCTGAAGTGAAGGGTTGCAAGAAGTTTGTGGCCTTATGAGATGATTTTCCTGTGGGTATGTAAAGGTGGCTGAAACTGGAAGTTGCCAGTGGCTCACAACTGTCATCCTAGCTACTCAGAAGGCTGAGATGTGAAGACCATGGTTCAGAGCCAGCTTGGGCAGAAAAGTCTGTGAGACTTGATGTCCAATGGACCACCAGAGAACAAGAAGTGGTGCTGTGGCTTAAGTGGGAGAGTGCTCACCTTCAGCTGAAAAGCTGAGGGACATTGACCTGGCCCAAAGTTCAAACCCCATGAGCAACAACAAAAAAAGAGGTAGCTAAGTTTTCTGCATAGCAGTGTGTACCATATGAAATGCCATGCTGGTCTCTGAGACATTCCAGATATGTGAGAGGCTCAATGTTTTGTCTACAGTAGGTCTGAGGTCGGTAGTGCCAGGTTCTTGTGGGTGGGATGTGATACTAATGGAATGAGTTCATGGTTCTGTTCTCAGGGACTGCTGAAGCCTTGATCTGTTCCTGTGTTAGAAGACCTGAGCCTTGCAGTGAGGGCATAGGTATTGTTCCTGACCTTCTGAGCTCAAAGCTAGTGCTCGGACACTTGAGCCACAGGTCCATCTCTATCTATTTGGTAGTTCACTGAGGATAAGAGCCTCATAGCCTTTCCTGCATGGGCTGGCTTTGAACTGTGATCCTCAGACCACAGCCTTCTGAGTAGGTAGGATGACAGACATGAACCACCTGTGCCAGATTTGTGTGTTTGTGTGTGTGTGTGTGTGTGTGTGTGTGTGTGTGTATGTGTGTGTAGAAGTGGGTTGTAACAAGGAGCGCTGGACCCTTTGGGTAACTTCTAACTGCTATCTTTGGGGGGTGCATGGATATTATGTCTTAGGTTTGGGGGCCTGGAAGGGTGAAAAGCTTAAATTATAAGACCAAGGGATCTGTGTTCCCTGGAGCTGTCTACTCCCTTGTCCTTGGTTGGTGGCAGAAGGATCTTGGGAGGACCTGAGGGTGGGGCCCACAAGGGGTGGCTCCCCAGAGGGACAGAGAGCATGGCCAGCACTTAGTCAGGATGCCAGCTCTGTTAGTATGGAGCGTACTGGGTGGGTCAAACTCTGGGTCATCTCATCATGAGGTCTGATGGGTGAGGCCAACCCTATTTTAAATCTTGACCTATGACCTTCAGATCTCAGCTTCCTGAGTAGCTAGGATTATAGGCATGGGCCTCTGGCACCGGGCTTCTGATTCTTTTTAATATATTAGGGTTTGAACTCAAGGCCTTAAGCTTGCCAGTCAGGTATTCTACCATGAATGTCAAGCCTTTCTGTCTTGGGAATTCCCGAGATAGAGATTCAATATATGCTCAGGCTGGACTGGATCACGATCCTCCTGTGACAGGTGTTGGCCACCATGACTGGTTCTCTGTATTGGGATGATAGACAGGTAACACCACGTTTAGTCATCAGTTTAGATGGATTGTCACAAACTCTTAGTCCACAGCAGCTGATTCTTGACCACAGTTGAAGCTCTGGGCCTTACCATCGGACCTCAGTATCCTCCTGGGACAGTTGTGAGGAAACAAGGGATCAATATAGGGGGATCACTGGGGCAGGGCCAGGCATAGAAGGAACGGTTGCCAGATATGGTTCTTGGAAATTCTGTTAGCATATGACAGGAAGATGCCCTGCAAGGGCTCAGATGGGGCCTGTTATTTATCATGCAACAGGTATGGGATTATGAAACAAAACATGGCTCTCTTTCATCCTTACCCTATCCCCATGTGGAAGGGGATCCTTCACTGTGTTCAGCTTTGCAGCTGGGGAAAATGAGGCACGAAGAAGCTGGGTGACCTATTCATGTCCCCCAGTTTACAGGAAGCTCAGCCTGACTTCTCTGCCAAGCTCCCTATGATAATGGCTGCTATTCTGTCTACTTATTGTGGTGGAAAGGCCACTTCTTGTCAGTCCTGGGGTTTGAACTCTGGGCCTGGGCACTGTCCCCAAGCTCCTCAGTTCAAGGCAGGTGCTCTACCACTTGAGCCCTCAGCACCACTTCTGAATTTCTGGTGGTTCTTTGGAGATAAGAGTCTCACAGACCGTTCCTGCCTGCGCTGGATAAAAACCATGATCCTCATATGTCAGCTTCCTGTATAGCATTATGCCTGTGCCACTTGCATAAGACATAAGTCCAATTCTTTCTTTCTTTCCTTTTCCTTTCTTTCTTTCTTTCTTTCTTTCTTTCTTTCTTTCTTTCTTTCTTTCTTTCTTTCTTTCTTTCTTTCTTTCTTTCTTTCTTTCTTTCTCTCTTTCTCTCTCTCTTTCTTTCTCTCTTTCTTTCTTTCTTTTTTTCTTTCTTTCTTTCTTTCTTTCTCTCTCTCTCTCTCTTTCTTTCCTTCTTTTTCTCTTTCTCTCTCCCTCTGCCTCTGTCTCTGTCTCTGTCTCTGTCTCTCTCTCTCTCTTTCAGAAACTGGTTGAATGTGTCCTGAATGAGGAGGTTTAGCGTCTCCATGTGGCTGGGACCCACGGTAACCCTCTCATTCTGGAGGTGGGCTGTGGGTCAGGAGCTGTCTTGCTCAGCCTGTTCAAATAGCTCCCTGATGTCAGCCCTTCTGTGCCCAGGCTAGAACGTGATGGTTATTCATTGTCCATCCATCCTCTGAGTACTTCCCCACTACCCTCTGCTAAGACAGTTAAAGGAATGTGGATGAGGAGGCATCCTGTTGTTCAACTGCCCAGCATGATCCTGGGCCTCTGATCCTCACTGCCATCTATCTGGCCAGATCCCGGTTATAAGAAAATGAATTCACTCTATGTCTACTTCGCTTTGCTGGGGTGTGTCATTTCAGGTAGGGGGGCAGGGTGCAGAGGAAAGACTCCAGACCTGACAGCTCTTGGGGTACCTTTGCTCTTGTGACACAGCCAAGTCATTGCTGTGGATAACGAAGTAGCTGCCATCAAACTGATCAAGAACAATGCTCAAAGGTATGTAGGTGGGCTATTGAAGTATCAAACCCACCCATGATTACTTCCCACTCACAATAAGGGGGGGGGTGCATTGCAGGTGGTCGGCACTGGCCCTAGAGGAATATAAATGGATGGTGGCATTCAGGTGCTGGTGGCTCCCACCCATTATCCTAGCTATTTGGGAGGCTGAGGTCTGATGGTCATGACTAAGGGCCAGCGCAGGCAGCAATGTCTGTGATATTCTTATCTCCCAAAAAACACCTCCCCCCACCAGAAAAAAACCCAGATGTGGTGCTGTGGCTCAAGTGGTAGTGCCTCAGTCTTGAATGAAAGAAGCTCAGGGACGACACCAAGGCCTTGAATCCAAGCCCTAGGGCTCAGAAAAAAATACTAAAATAAATGAATAGTGGGCATCTGTTATCTTACTACTAAAAAGAATGGATTCAGTCATCTCTCTGGTACTTGTAGCCAAAAGTAAGGGGCTTCTTTGATGCTACTCTAAACCTCCCCTTCTCTGCATTAGCTCTCCAGGCTTCAGTTTCAGGATAGAATTCAGATCATCCCACTAAAAGTTACCTTATGTACTCTCCTCTACCCAACTTCCTTGGGGTGGGGATCCTGGATGTTCTCACCACTGGGAGGATGAGGCACTGCAGAGATCGGGGTACGTATCCCCGAAACTCACACACACACACACACACACACACACACACACACACACACACAGACACATTCACCTAGGCCAACTCAGACTAGCCTTTTCCAAAGGCACCTTATCTCCTTGTATTAACTGACCTAGCAGAGGTACTTGATCCCTTGTAAATGACTATTTTAACTAGGGCTTACTTGGCACGAGATAATCAAAGAAAGGGTCTGGTGCCTGTCACCTCTTGCTCAGGTTCACGTCTGATACACTGGCTACTTAGGAGGCAAAGATCTGAGGATCAAAGATCAAAGCCAGCCATAAGCTGGAAAGCTCGTGAGAATCTACTCTCAATGGAACCACCAAAAAGTTAGAAGTCGAGCTTTGGCTCAAGTTGTGGAGCACCAGCCTTGAGCATGAAAACTCAGAGTGAAAGCTCCAAGAAAATGAGTTCAAGCCCACACACAAAAATGGCCCCATTTTTTCGCCCCCAGACTACCTAGGCCTTGAGTACCCTCTCACATAGTGTGATACAGCACCAGTCCTAGGTAGTATATCAGAGCCTTCAGAAATTGCATGGTGGAAGCCAGGCCTACTCCTTCGTGTGCTCTTAACCCACACCAGGCAGAAGGCAGAGCATGACAAGGCATGCAGCCTGCAGAGCGGAGAAGACCTTGCCCTGTCAGGGAGATTGGAGTGGGCTTTTTAGAGGCAACAATTGAAAGAGGGTCTTTCTTAACAAAGAGGATCTGACAGGAAGCACAGAGAGCAAAGATGCTGTAGATAAATTACCACATAGTTGAGCACATTTATTTCCAGCCAGGGCTGCTGGTGAGAAACTCAATACTGATGTGCAAGACTATCCCGAGACAGACCTGAGGGTTTATAGAAGAACAGCTATCCAGGGTTGGGATTGTGTCTTAGCAGTAGTGGGCTTGCCTAGCACACAGGAAACCCTGGGTTCAATTCCTAGGTACCGCATACACAGAAAAAGCCAGAAACGGCACCAGGGCTCAGGTGGAAGAGTGATTTGCCTCGGGCAGAAGAAGCTCCTAGACAGTGCCCAGTCCCTGAGGTCAAGCTCTAAGACTGTGAAAATAAAATAGCACTCCGATGGTCCTTGGTGACAGGTGGTTGGCTATGCCCTGTTGATCTTAGGAGATCCATCCATGCTTAGTGTCTCCTTCTTTGACAGAAGGGAGCTAGACATTCCTTCTGCCCTGAACACCCCTGGAGGTGGTTATCAGCAACCCTCCCAACATCTTCCACCAGGACATGGAGTAGCTGGCCCCAGAAATCCTCAGGTACAGGTTGGATGGGGCGGGGGCATACAAGGCAGCCCCCAGAATCCTAGTGGGTCTGACCTGCCCCAGAGGACCAGTTCATCCAGAGGAGGTGGATGGAAGCTTAGAGAGGGGTAGAGATGTGGAGTGGGCTCTTTAATGCCCATGGCCCCAACCAGATTCCAAGCCTCCCTTTGCTTTCTGTGAGGGAGATAGAGGAGTGTCTAGGTGGTAGTGTATAGAGGAGGACTAAATGGAAATTATAAAGAATGAGACACTGTAAGCCATGTGCTGGTGGCTCATGCCTGTCATCCTGGCTACTCGGGTGGCTAAGATCCAGAGGATCTCATTTCCCAGCCCAGGCAGGAAATTCCCATGAGAGTGTCATCCACAATCTCCAAACCGAAATGGCGCCATGGCTTAAAAGGAACAGAACTGGCCTTGAACAAAAATCATCATCAAGGACAGTTCCCAAGCCCTGAGTTCAATCCCCTCAGCAAAAACAACAACAACAACAACAACAAAAAAAAAAAAACAGAAAGACACCCCTTGCCTGCAAGTGATGGTGAAGCAATGGGGGTCCTGTGGTTGGGAGACCAGATGCTAGTCTAAGTGTACAGAAATTTCTAAAAACTCTCCAGTTTTGCCCCAGTGTGAAGTCACAGAAGGGTGGGCGTTGCCTTACCAACAACTCCAGAGGTCGTGGCCTGTCTTAGGCAGGGAGTGAGCTAATGGGAGCAGGTATGGGAGGGTAGTGTCAATTATATTCCCTCCATTCATGGAAATATAGTTTTGGATGCTGGTGTCAAAGTCTGAAGTGAAGGGTTGCATGTGGTTTGTAGCCTGACAAGTTGGGTTTCACCTGGCTATAAGAACGTAACTGAAGCCGGGTGCTGCCAGTGTCTCACAATTGTCATCCTAGCTACTCAGGAGGCTGAGATCTGAGGCTTGCAGTACAAAGGCAGCTTGGGCAGGAAAGTCTGTGAGATTTTTATCTCCAATGAACCACCAGAAAACCGGAAGTGGTGCTGTGGCTCCAGTGGTAGAGCACATACTTTCAGCTGAAGAACTGAGGGACTGGGTGCAGGCCCATAGTTCAAACCCCATGACTGACAACCAAAAATAAGGTGGATGAGTTTTCTGCATAGAGTTGTGTACAGTAGGAAATGCCATGCTGTGATATGAGCCATTCCAGACGTGTGAGAGGCTGAGATTTTTCTACAGTTTGTGTGAGGACGGTAGTGCCATCTTCTCGGGGTTTGGCATGTTCCGGTGCTCAGGGACTGATGAGGCCTTGGGTTAACCCTATGTGTGGTGTGGTGTGTGTGTGTGTGTGTGTGTGTGTGTGTGTGTGTGTGTGTGTGTGTGTGTGTGTGTATTTCCCTCGTCTTTCTCTGTGCCCTTCCTGAGTGCCTGTCTTCCTCTACCTGATATCGGATGTTGCCCCTCTTCCATTACAACCTTGCATTTAGCCCCCTGTCAGGGTCTACAATGAGTCCTAAATTGCCAGAGAACTGAATAGTCCAGCTTTTCAGTGGAGCCCAAGTCCGGCTA